CTCAGGAAGAGGGGTGCGGGGCCCTGACTCCCCCTTACTCCGTGACAGGCCGGGTCCATCCCTACGGTCGATTCGACAGGGCAACCCCTCCCCCTCCCAGCCTTTGACAGTGTGTGATGTCACGGAGGCCTCTGATGTCACACATGTGGCGCTGTGATGTCATCCAGTGAACGAGAACGGGGGGGTGGAGACATGGCATGTGAAGGGCTGGGAGCCCGGATGCCTGGGTTCTCTCCCCGGCACTGGGAGGGGAGTGGGGGCTGGTGGGTCAGAGCAGGGGGGGCTGGGAGCCAGGACTCCTGGGTTCTCTCCCCGGCTCTGGGTGGGGAGTGGGGGCTGGTGGGTCAGAGCAGGGGGGGCTGGGAGCCAGGACACCTGGGTTCTCTCCCCGGCTCTGGGAGGGCAGTGGGGGCTGGTGGGTTAGAGCAGGGGGGGCTGGGAGCCAGGACTCCTGGGTTCTCTCCCCGGCGCTGGGAGGGGAGTGGGGGCTGGTGGGTTAGAGCAGGGGGGGCTGGGAGCCAGGACTCCTGGGTTCTCCCCCGGCTCTGGGAGGGGAGTAGGGGCTGGCAGGGAGAAGGGGGCAAATGTCTCTAACGGGGTCTCTGTCTCCCCAGACTGTGGCTTCCGGCCGGGATACGACAGCCCCAGCCCCTCCCCCGCACCCCGCATCATCGGGGGGCAGAAAAGCCGCCCTGGGGAATGGCCCTGGGTTGTGAGTCTCCAGACCCAAGGGCATCACTTCTGTGGGGGGAGCGTCATACACTCCTGGTGGGTGCTGAGCGCAGCCCACTGCTTCCACGACACCCGGTAAGGGGGCTGCGGGTCGGGAGTGAGGGGCACCGGCAGAGCTGCGGGGGGCAGGGCTGGGCCAGCAGGGGCTGTGGGTCAGGAATGAGGGGCGTCGGCAGAGCTGGGCGGGGCAGGGCCGGGCTGGCAGGGGCTGCGGGTCGGGAGTGAGGGGCACCGGCAGGGCTGGGGGGGCGGGGCTGGGCTAGCAGGGGGGCTGTGGGTCGGGAGTGAGGGGAGCTATCCCTGTGCCCGTGCCCAGGCCCCAGGACGTGACGGTGGCGGCCGGCAGCGTGACCCTGGGCATGGGCGGCGTCACCCGGCGGGTTCGTCGGATCCTGTCCCACCCCAGCTACAGCCGCAGCACCTACGACTCGGACCTGGCCCTGCTGCTGCTGAGCCGCCCCCTGCCCCCGGGCCGGGGCCTCGGCCTCGTCTGCCTCCCCGGGGAGCCGGCCGACGAGGACGACGGGCAGTGGGGCAGCTGCTACGTGGCCGGGTGGGGCACCACGGAGTACGGTGAGCGGGGGCACCGGGCGGGGCTGAGCTGGGGGGAGCAGGGGAGCGGGGGTCTCTCCAGGGGTGTCTGGCTGGGGGGGTTCAGGCCAGGGGGGGTGGGGCCCATGGCTGGGGGGGTCTCTCTGGGGGGCTCTGGCCGGGGCTGCAGCGTCGTCTCTCGCAGGGTAGGAGTGGGGGGTCGGGGGCGCTGCGGGAGGCCGGCGGGGCCCATGGCTGGGGGGG